ATAATTTCAATCAAGTCTTAAAGAAATATTAAAAGAATCTTAATAAAATCCTAATCAAATTCTAATGATATTCTAATAAAAAATTAAAAAATCCTAATCAAATCTTAATTAAATTCTAAAAAAATTCTAATAAATTCCTAATCAAAGCTTAAGTAATCATGACCAAATCTTAGCCTAATCCTATAGAAGTTTCAAAAGCTCAATAACTAATAATTTCATCTCTAATCTTGACTCAAAACTTTTCCATCTCTCAATTTAATTTTTTTTAAAAACAAGTATAAAATATTTAAAGATTAAACTTATCAAATGTGAGAAAGACTTAATAATTTGCTTGAGTATCAACCAGCCTTCTTTTCCAACCTTAATACCAATCTTTCAATACTAATATGTCTTATTTTGACAATTCAATTGCTTTTAAATTTTTAATAATTGTTAGAAAGCAAGTTTGCTATTAGTACACCCAATTTCACTTTAAGCCTATAGGTAGATTGTTGCCAATCTTACAAAACCTTACTAGCCCTTTGAAATCTAATTTCCAAGTTTCCAATCTATTTAAATTTAATAATATTTAATTAATTTTATAATTAAGCTCAAACTTAATATACACATTTAATACATGTATATCCATAAATATAAAGAAAAAAAAAACTTTTAGATTTCTTACAAATATCATAATATATTTTTAAATATAAATTATTTTTATTCTACAAAAATTAGTATCATCTCAAAAAAATCCTTACTTTGCAAAGCTCTTACAACATCAATACAAATTCAAATCATCTAAAACTAATTTTAAAAAATATTTTTTAATTTTTTCTCAAATCTTATTTTCTAATCAAAAAAAGATCTTTGTAATTGCTATAAATACATAATTTTGTGTCTTGAAATAAGATCTTTTTTAATATAATGTTTTGTTTTCTTTGCATCTATTAGCTATATTATAATACAACAACAACTTTTAAAGAGTCAACTTACTTCCAAAATTAAAAGAAAGTAATCCACTCACTTCCAAACCAAAATAAGAATAACAAATTAGTATTCTTGTCAAACTATCAAGGACATGAATCATAACCAAATTCTAAAGAAGCAATGTAGTCTTGTAATAAAACAAAGATAGATATAAGATAGAAACTAGAATGACTATTTCTAAATATAAAACTTATTATAATTTGGATGGCTAATTTATTTTTTTATAAAACTATTTCTAAATATAAAACTCATTATAATTGGATGGTATGATATTATTTTTTTATAAACTAAAAGGTGTTCTTTTAAAAACTTCTAAATTATTGGTAGCAAATATTTATTAATTCTAAAATTTCTTTCTATTACATGTGATTAGATGGTATGGCACTATTTTTTTAAAATAATAGTCTCTCTTAAAAAATAAAATATCTTATTAAAAAAATAAAAATAGTGTATATTTTAATAAAACCTATAATCAACATTAATATTTTAATTCTTTTAAGAATTAAGAGATGTATAATAATTTAAATATTAGTACAAGAATAGTTTATGAATAATATAAAATTAACTATGCTAAAACATCAAAGTTAGTCATTAAGCTTAAGATAATATAAAATATTAATATCTAAATATATTCAATCAAATACTTTAACAACATTAATTTTAAATCAAGTTTTTTATTCAAGATCTAAAACATATTTTATGTTAAGATGATTATGCATCCTTAACATGCATGTAAAAAAAAAACCATTATTTTTAATATATTAATATCATACTTATAAATAGGGAATTGATATTTTTCTTATTGAAGCCTCTTTTTGGCAAAGTCATGATAAGACCTATTAGAAATTTATATATATATATATATATATATATATATATATATATATATATTCATAATTCATTCTTATTACAATAGTCATTTTAAAAATTAAATTTTAAATTTTAAATAATATATTAAATATTTTAAAAATACATAAAAATTAATTAAATTTTTTAATTAATTTTTAAAAAATATTGAAATTATTTAAAATTAGATATAATATAAATAGTGGTTAAATCAATTCAATTTTTAAAAAATATATCTCACACCTTATATTTAATATTTTTTATACTATATCCTTTCATTAATTATACATGTATTTTTTTATGATATATAATATTTAAAATTATAAATTACTTTATATTAAAAATAAATAGTTTTATTTATTTATCTTCACCTATTTTAATGCACAAATATAATTCCAAAGAAATATAATAATGTGATTTCTAAATACAACCTTTAAAAAATATTATAATTTTATCATTTGTAACTTTTATTTAATAAGATGATTTTTAAACTTATATTGGCTTTTAAATGATTATTTTAAAATTTGAAATATTCTGTAGAAATATCATCATTAAAAAAAAAACCAGTTATATATATATATATATATATATATAGAGAGAGAGAGAGAGAGAGAGAGAGAGAGAGAATATGTGCATTGAAATTTATATATTTTATATGTTTTATGCAGTATTATTAAATATCTATTCACTTTTCTTCAAATAAACTATGATAATTTATGATCATTACATTATCTTACTTTTTATACAAATATAGGATGGAGTTTGGTTAGGTAGGTCAGGTGTATAAAATTTAATAGTTAGATCCGCCTTTGCTTTGTTTGGTACTGAGAGTACTAGGACATATTAACTTTCACCCTTTTAATCAATCCTAGGGATTTACTTTTACATATTGCACAAAAAAGAAACTCTGATTATAATCAAGACTATGATTTCTTAGTCTAGGTTGTTTATTTGTTTGTTATTTTCCTTTTGGCACACTCCTGCACACAAAAAATAATAATTAACCAGCTCATAGATTAAAATAAATAAATAAACAAATAAATAAAATAATTGAAAAAAACCATCTACATAACTTTAAATAACTGAATAAAAGTAAAAAAATATAAAAATACAAAAAAGAAAAAACATTCTGGCTTATCTGAAATTTCTCGTTGCCTACGTGGACGCAGTATGAGATGACATGAACGAACCAACCTTTCTCATCCACGGAAATCTGGGACCCCGTCCATCCTACTGGACGACTTTCATCATCCCGAAGACACAGAAAACAAAACGCTAAAGTCAAATGGCTTGCGATCCACGTCATCCAACGGGGGGTATGTCATCATCCCCGAGCCTATACATCTCCGAACCTACCACAAATGGTAGGTTTGACCGAGCTATGCCTGTCTACTGCAGCCACGTGCGCTTCATCCATTTTCAAGGCTCAGAACTTTATTTATTTATCCTCAATAATTCATTCGTCTTCGCCGGGTTTCCTGTGAAGGAAAGCCCCACACCTCACAGAACCGGCACCAGTCCTTCCCGCCATGAGCGATCTGACGTGGAGACTTTGTTCTGATCGTCTTCCCTCATTGGACCAAGACTTGACCTCGTCTGAGTCTTTTCATCGTCCCCGTCAATCCCTTCATGTCCTCCAACTGTGCCCTTGTCCACGCCCAGTCAGACCGTGGGAACAACACTTTCTGTTCACAACGAACAGAATGTCCCATCCGTTGAATCCAAATACATCCATTGCCCCAACTCCTCGCTTCAGTCTTTTGCGTTTCATTTATGCATACTTTGGCTGACACTTCTTTTATTTACTTATACGGGTTTTTTTTATATGGTTTTTAAAGTGTGAGTTAAGAGAAAGGCTCCTAAATCGACCACGTCTCTATTACTGCATTATTCTTATTGGTAGAAACTATGGCAACAATCATTCAAAATAAATCAAAGTAATAACAATGAAAATAGTGACACGTTTACTGGCCACAATGTCACGTATATGTGGCCGATACTATTCAACTTGGAAGTTACTATTGGCTTGTGTTCCTCTCTCTTTCACAAATCAACCCCATGTTTTGATTACTATATTACTCCTCACGAGAGGTTTGCATTTTGAGATCCATTTGTCAAGACACTATTCGATATCAAATATAGGATGGTGCAATTATTAGTAGGGTCAATATGTGAAAAGCGACGTGTTGAGAATATACGAAATAAATCACAACCCCGCAGCAAATGCACTGCTCGTTGGGCTCCTCATATCATCCACTCAGTTACATCCGAATTGATTGGATGAGTATTTTGTCATCCTCAAATCTGCTGCCCGAGGAGGACGGCGCCTTCTTCTGCGGAGGAGATTGCGACGTCTTGTGAGCACTTGAAACTGGTGGAATCCCCGACGGCGCCTGTTTTGGAGAACCTCGATTCATGGGCCACGCAGTACATGCTCCAAATTTGCCATTAATATTGGGTCAGACAATAGACTGCTCACCAACCCAGCTGTTTCTACTTCAGATAATCGCCGTCTGGTTCTTCAGGCATCGCTACTTCTGTTTCCATCTGTTGCTGCTTCAGGAATCACTGTCTACTTCTTCACGCATCGCTACTTCTGGTTCGGTTGTGAATTCTCGTTATTTGGCGCGATGGTCTCTGCTTCATCAATGGCTGCGTCTCTGGTTCTACTGTGGAGTGTCGGTGGCGATGGCGGTTGCGCTCAGATGATGTGCCTCACCATGTTGTGAGCGAATAAGGTGCAATCTCAAAGGCCATTCTGGATTGTTTGTATAATTTTCCTTGAAGAGAATTGAGAGGCGTGGAGGATTGTGAGTGGAATTTCGCGTGGAGTGAATCGGAGAGATCGTTTGTTTAGAATCAGTGGTGAATTTTAAGTTCGAATGTCTTTTCAGTTTTATCGCCGAGCTTGTAGTCCAAGCTTTCATTATTCACTGCATCAGTGTAGGAGGAATATAAAACGTTTTTGGGCAATGGAATTTGTGGAGTGAAGCATGGCTCCAGCGCTGCTTTAGCTACCGCTAGCCAATGTAGTTAGTCTTAACGCAACCCTGAAGTTGCATTAATGGCCTTCTCTCTTCTCTTACGAGAACAGATTGTGCTCTACGGTTGCGAATTAACCACCACGAAGCATTCCCGTCTACGAACTTTTGTGAGATCGAGGGTATGGTGCCGACCTGGTACATTTTCCCCCTTTGTAGTACTCCCTTAGCATGCTCTTGCTCCGAATATCCTCATGAGTTTTCTCAAATCACAGATTCTGGTTTTTTTAACTAGTCTATTGTTAGTGTCCCCATTCTCTGTGTGCACGGTTTCTCCAGACAGAAGTTCGATAATTCCACTGATTTAATCTCGATCGAATCCCTTCAAAATTGCAGTTATTAGTCGAGAGTCCCAGCACTATCTTGTCCTGTTTCTTTTAGTGGACACAGTGTACATCGTGGATCCTCAATTTCTTCAGCGTTTGATTTCGTGAAAAATTTAGATAAACCATATTGGTGAGATTTAAAGTTCCTGTCTCTTTGAGCTTCTAAAAAGTGCAGAAGCTCGCTACAGCTAATCGTCATACCAAAATCTAAATTTAGATAAATTTGTGCGAGTTCTTGCCGGAACCTTTCGTTTTGTCTGGTTAACAACCGGGAAATGGAGCGATCGAGCCTAAATTCATCAGATTCAATCACTCAGGGAAACCATGCATCAAATTGTTTGAAAAAAATTAAAAGGAAAAGTAAAACCCAAAACCTATTTTATCTGGTTGCGACTGGAACAGATGTGATTTAGATACTAAATAGGTCAAGGTAGAAGAGGGTGCTGTCTTGACCCTTAGATAATCACACTGGATTTGAAGAGCCACTGCAAATCTGGGCAGCAGCCACTTTGGAATGACAATTAGCTGTAGTTCTGGGTTCGTGTACTAGGTCGTAGCATTGGTTTGTGGCGCTAGAGAAGCTGGTGTAGATTTTAAAGGGCAATGAAAATGTTGCTCCAGCTGCGTCCTCATCCCTTGCTTTTTTAAAGCATATCCATCTTGATGTAACAAAGAGAGACCCACCAGTTCGGACGAATTCAATGGGGGCAAATCTTCGACCAAGAATGAATTTGATTGCCGCTTGGAAGGGAATTTTTCAATACGTCATTCACGAATTAAGTAAAGGAGGTTAGTTATAACAGCTCAGTCGAGCATTCCAATCATTGAAAGAAACGCAAGAAAATTAGCGCCGTGCTCGGAATTTGTATAGACAACTGGAGGATACTTCCCTTGTAGCCATTTGCGTGTTATCCAATGGACTGTGAGCACAAAGTCTGTGCAATTACATCTGGAGCACTATGCAGGTTACATGTCTGACCAGTGAGATAATTGGTTGATTGTGCTATTCTCTAGGTTGGATAATGCCAAATCAGCGGAGTAATAATCAGTGATGGGCTGCTGGAAGGTGATGGATTTGAGGTTACGCTCGTGGTTGCCATGGATAGTCATGTTCGCGGCAGGGGTTATAGCCTACACCTACTACCAGTTTCTGAATCCACAAAACTGTGCGGGGTTTTACGTCTGCAGGCTTGCTGTAGAGAAAGCCAGCTTCCCACCTGTCGAATCCACAACAGAACCGATGACACCATCGCTAGATCAGTTCAAGCCGCTCTACAACGACACTCGTCGGATTGCGGTCTGCATAGTTGGTGGAGCCCGGATGTTCGAAATCACTGGACCCAGTCTACGAAAGCACCTCTTGGACGTTTTTAACAACACTGATGTCTTTCTACATTCCCCTTTAGATGCAGATAGCCACAAACTCACCCTTCTCGCTGGTCGCAACCTCCGCGTAGCCAAGATCTTCGTTCCACAAACTCTACCCGAGACGAAAATCATACAAGAAGTAATCACATCATGGGGATCCCCACGTGGGATGCAGGGACTCCTCCAGTACTTCAATCTCGTGGAAGGCTGTTACGGAATGGTGAAGAAGTACGAGGTTCAACGAAATTTCACGTATGACTGGATCATCCGCGCGCGCGCGGACGGGTACTGGAGCGCTCCAGTACCCGACATTTCGCAGCTGGATCCGAACTACTACTACGTCGCGGCGGGGAGCATGTTCCACGGACTCAACGACCGTTTCGGAATGGGCTCCTCGCACACCAGCCGCGCCGCGAACACGCGGTTGACCCTGCTGCCGGTGATGCACATGCGCGGCCTGCGCGGCCTGAACTCCGAATCCGCCTACAAGGCCCAGCTTACAGTCTCCGGAGTGCTATTCAAGCCCATCCAGGTTCCGTTTTGCATCGTAACGCTGCGGACGCCGCGGTGCCCGCCCCTACCGCGGGGATTGCTCCTCCTGTCCATGGCCTCGGAGGGCCCCATGAGTGGGGCCTATTGCCGCCCCTGTGACGCCGAGGTCAATGCGACGGCGTCAGCGGCAATCGTTACCGCCCGTGAGCGGGACTGGGACTGGCCCGGCATCGAAGGGGAGCGGGTCACCGTGTGTGACGGAATCAAGCCTTGGGCCCCGACTTGGCGACGGATCGCGGACGAAGTTTACAAACGAAACTTGGGACTGGACGAGGAAATTCGGGATTTTCAGTCGAGGTCGCGGGAAGAGTGTATTGAGGAGATGGAAGCATTCCAAAGGTTATGGGATATTTGGGATTCCCTTTCTCCGGAAATAATTTGCAACTCTGCTTTCCCTTTGAAGGGTTGGTAACAACTCCTGCATTAGTGATCACCTTGTATCACCTTGTTTATGTAATTATGCTTAATTTTTTATTTTTAAAATTTTTTCCTTTTATTTAGAATTTGTAGCAATTACAATCATTCATTCTATGAAAAAACTTTTCAAAATATTATTTTTAAAATACTAAAATTATAAATAATTTTTTTAAAATTTGGTTTTGCAAAAAATGAGAATCTCTTTTCATATTCAAGGATTTAAAATAAAGCATTTTTTAAAATTTAATATTTCAATGTAAGTCACTAAAAAGCTTGTAGTTAATATTGCTTAATTGATTAGTTTTATATTGAGATTTTTTCGTTTAATTTTTTTTTTCTTTCTTTTAAAATAATTTTAACACAAGTAAAATTTAGGCCTAAACCTAAGTCAAAAATTTCTTGATTTATTTTATTATTAATTATAAAAGATATCCTAAAAAATGCTTATACAATACAGATTATCTATTTATTATTTTATTTTTAGAAATTATAATTTCTTTAATTTTGAATAGAATTTATTATAATTATTTGATCTTTTGAGTTGTAGAAAGAATAATTGGTGTATTTACATATTCATAAACCGTTTTAAAATAAATTTATATTTTCAACCATACTTAATTAATTTATTAATTCTCCCAAAAAATTATCTAAGTATATATTATAAATTCATTGATTCAATTGATTCTAAAACTATTATTATTATTATTATTTTAAATTATTTATTTATTTTTATATTATTTTTATAATCTAAAAATAATTTGAAAACCATACCATTAGAATTAATTATAATTCTTTTTTATTAATATGATTTCCACAATTATATAGAAGAAAATAAATAATTATTTTAATACAAAATATAAATATTCTTTAATACTTTTTAATATAAATATTAAAATTTAGTAATTATTAGATAATATTAATTAAATTATATATATATATATATATATATATGTATATATCTCCAGAGAGAGAGAGAGAGAGAGAAAAAAAAAAAAATATATTATCCAATAAAAATTTTAATTTTATTATACTTTACTCAATAAAGTTTCAATATCTAATTTTACAATGCTATCAATTATCTAAACTAAGATTGAATGCAAGATATTCACTTGTGCATCAATACTGCATTTGTATCTTTTATAATCAATTCACATTCTAAGATTGGTGGCAACAAAAATTTATTGTTAAAAGTGATATAAAAATATATTTTTGTACATAGAAAAGATAATAAGATTGTAGCTTAGCTAAAAGATATAGTTCTAGGCCCAACTACATACATAATTATTTATACAAAATCAATTAACAACATTTGACATAGCTAATAGTTTTCAATAACATGCATTTTAAAGAATTAAAACATCAATAAATTCTTGTGTCATTCAAAAAGACTAAAAAATCACTCAAAGATGGTATAATATTAAACTAAAATAGCTATTGCCAAAGACAAGAAGACTAAAAAGTCTTGAAACAAGACTAAAGACTAAAAAAGCATTGATAACAGTAAAGAAGACTTTACTCTTGCCTCCATATATACTCTCTAACTAAAAGCTATATGGCAATATTTTATAGGACATCTAACACATGTTTAATTTGTAAGACATGTGTCTTAATTCACAAGATAAGTTTCATATATGCATATCACATTATTAGCTTGTACCACAAGCTATTCACTTGTGCAACACATGGCTAACTTGTTGGCCAAGTTTCTAACCTACCAATCAATTATAAATATGTATAAATTCAAATATGCATCTATAAAGCTTCTACAAAGCTTTGCCACAAGATAATTTTAAATCTATCTACATTTATCTTCTATCTAGTACTTCTTATTTAGATAAATATATATATGTTCATGATATTGTCCTTCGTTCTAGAAATGAGTTCTACTAGGAGCAATTATTATATATTTAGAAAGTCAAAGATGTGATAAATTTTATTTTCTAAATATTCTAATCTTAGTTCCTTTTGAAGGTAGTTGATAGGTCTTTTCAACCATTGATACTACTTCATACTAAGGCAGGAAGAATATTTCATTATTTGATCATTATTGAAGCCTTTATAGATCTTTTCAAATAAAACATTTGGAATATTGTCAAAAGTTGTTCCCACCTCTAATAAAATCACTTAACATCAAGAATCTCTTTCAAGGTCATGATATTAAAAGCATTGTATTTTTCAATCTATTCAAGAAAGAATATGTCATTCTTAAGGATCTTTATTTCTATTACGTCATCTTGAAGGCTGTAATAATCACAATGTCTTGTTTAATAAGTCAATAAACAATAGATCTTAAGTTAAATTTGCTGATTATTGATTCTCTATCTCTTTAGTACCACAAATATATAAAAATTACAAACAATAACAGAATATAAAATGCTATCTTCCTTAAAACTTGTTTCTTTTATAACAAAGATTTGCTATTTTTCATCTTGATTTTAATGGATGTCATTGATAAAAAAATATCAAACTTTTTTTATTGTATTTGTGAGATTCTTTATTGGCTTAAATATGCATTCATTAATATTACATTATTACCAAGGAATAAAATATTTTAATCTATTTCAATGCTGCCTTGAATTTAAGACTTCTTCTACTTTAAATTCTTAATTACAATCCACTTTTGCAAAAAAAAAGGTGGAATTCATCTTTTTTCCAAGATATTCATTATTTTATATGTTCAAGAAGATACATATAGAATATAAGATGGATCTTTATAGACTCTGATAGATATAATTAATAAGTAATTATATTAATTTATTCACAAATAAAAAATAATTCAAACTTATAGTAATTCAATTTTTTACAAGTATGACTAATTTTGATATTGTAATGAAGTAGCCATACCTTGTTGTCAATGTAGAATTTAGGTTGCTTCTTGCAATAGGAATCTCTATTGAGTTTCTTTTAATTGAACCTTCATTATTGTTTATAGCTTAAATAAAAATAATTCCAAATATTCTATTGTAAAATTATCAACTTTTATAAAATCAAAAACATCAAGTTATTATCAAGGACAAGAACTTGATGAAAGCAAATAAACAAGTGAGACCTTTTCAAAGAAATATGATAAAATAAAAATATGGAAGTATGTATATTAAAAAAAAATTCAAATGACTATTGTCAAAACAACAAGAAAACTAGAGACTTCTTGAAATTAGAATAGAAACAAGAAAGGAATTGATAAGAGTAAAGAAGGGTTTACTATTACCTTTATATATACTATCTACTTAGGAGTTACATAGTAATATTCTATTGGACTTCCAAAATATATTGACTTTGTTCAACATGTATCTTAACTTATAAGGCAAATTTTTTAAATGAGCATCACATAGTTAGCTTATTTTGTATGCAATTAATATCACGGATATAAATAAATAAAAAATTAAATAAGAAATTGAATAAGAAATTAAAAAAAAAAATTGAACAAAAAAATATCAACAAGAAAACTAACAAAAACTTCATTAAATCAAATGAGTACAAGATCAATATCAAAAAAAGTGAGATAGAGTTCTTAGAGATGTATTCTTAAGATTAAGGATCTCCTCAACCTTGACTTTAATATATATATATTAGATATTAGGAAGCTTTTGAAGAAGTTTTTATATTACTTAAAAATGAAGCAACCTTAAGAAGTTCTTTAAGAAGTTCCCATATTACTTAAAGATGAAGCAACTTTAGAAAGCTTCTTAGATATTTTTTTAAAATCTCTTAGAACTTTTTAGAACCTATTAGAATATTTTAAGAACCTTTTAGAATATTTAAAAAATATTCTTAGAATCTTTTAGAATATTTTAGAATTTAATAGAATATTTTTAAAATATTCTTTAAATCTTTTTATTACATGTTCATAACATCATTTTTCCTTTTAACTCTCAGTTCTACAAAAAGCATTGGTTTCATATCTGCTTTCTTCATTATATACAACATCCTAGCAATAGCTATATAAAAAAGTCATCTTTCAATAGATTTAGGTTTTTGAGGATAGCATTGATGAAACTCTTATATTTTTTTTGGTACATTAAGTAGATTTTTTATTTGTTCCTACATATGCTCATTGATATAATTGTTGCATCAATGAATAAAATACTCAAACTTTCATCTTTTTTATTAAAAATCAAGGATCTTTTCTATCTCATATTCTATATGATTATCTATTTCAATGGAAGATGGTAATGGTTGTATTCTTCTTGAAATAATTGATTTTGAATAAGCTTCTAAGAAAGGAACATGAAAGATTGGATGTACCTTCATAGATGTAGGTAGTTCCAACTAATAAGCCACTAGATTGATTTGCTTTTGAATACAAAATAGTCCTACACTTTGATAGTCCAACTTATTGTAAGATCAATTAGTCTTGATATTTTGTCAAAAAAGCCATACTTTAATTTCAACTTAAAAAATAAGAGATTATTTTCTAAATTGATCTTAAGATGCTTTCTAAGAATCTTAAGCTATATATGAATGGAGCTTCAAATTTATTTGGAGTTGTAACAATTGTGTTGCAAGTTCTACAATTATTGGATTTTCATCCTTTGGTATACCTAATAAATCAAGCTTTGCATGGTAACCATAATTGATATAAAATGATGTTTGCTAAATCAAAGAATGAAGAGTATTATTATAAGCAAACTCTACTAAAGATAAATACAAGGTCTAATCATCTTATTGATAGTTGATGGTACATTACAAATATTGCTCCAAAACTTGATTGATCCGTTCTATTTTACCATCAGTTTGAGAGTAGAAAGTAAAAAAAAATAAAAAAATATCCATCTTCAATATCTTGAAAAGAATTTTCAAAACTTTGATACAAATTGAGATCCTCATTTAAAAATGATGTCATCAAATAAGCCATAATATCAATATATATTGTGAAAAAAGAGCCTAATTGTTTCTTCTCCAAAAATCATCTTTTTACATGGAACAAAATATGCCATCTTTATAAATTGATCTACAACAACATAGATAGTATTAAATGTAGCTGATAGTAATATATTAATGATAAAATCTATTGATTCTAAAAACCATGGTTGCTTTGGAATTGGCAATGGCTATAAAAGTAAATAAGAATAATATCAAAAAA